TTGAAAATTAAATTAATTTTGTATAATAGCTGCATACATGTAAGCATTGGCGACTAAAAATGATAACTACAAAAAACTATGGATTTACAAAATAAACTGGAATTCTCTTGATGAACTCGGAAAATTTACGAGAAAGGATTAACAGACGAGAAAAAAAGAATGGATGCTTAAAGAACAGCAGAGATATGTAATGTATTAATGAATTAGACTTATGCTCATTTATAATTGAATTATTCGAGATGCAGCCCAAAGCTCCAATAAAATTTCCTCGATGTAACGATAACTTTCATCGTTACATCGAGGTTTGCTTGTAGATAGTGCTTTGATAAAAATATAAAAATATTAATTTTTCGATCGACCACTGATCGATCGACTACTTGCATTCATCCAAAAAATTAAAACTTCGCGTTCTTGGCACTTGAAGTTCGTTTTCCTAATAATGAATCTAGTGCAAAGAACACTTGCACTTGTTCAAGAATTTCACATAATGCTTACGAAATCTACTCGAAACCGAAAGTACCAAAGATATCAACCATACTTGACTTCCTGTTCTTTACAAAAATTCTCGGAAAAGAACATCTACAATACTATAACTATTACCAATAACTCTTTTATTTGTTCAGAACAGAGATTTTTAACTAATAGAAAATCTATAACATGGAATTTTATAGTCTCTCGCCATCTTAATATCGATGCTCAGCAGCAGGATGGTCCATCATTGCCTTTGTCAGAAAACACAAATGTTGAAGCCGTTTCAGGCTTAGAGAAATTTCGTGGAATATTGAGTCAATGTAGCCGGCTAGCTACAAGAGGATCTTATCTGAATCCTCATCTACTGTCATATATGTGGGATTCATACGTGGCTCTTGAGTTTAACGAAAAATCATTAATAGAGTTAAATGAGTTTGATGAAATTCTACGCGTCTTGAATCATAATGGACATAAATATCAACCCAAATGGGGACAGTTGGTCACGGTGCTTGAAGATATGAAGAAATTAAATTTGGAATACAAACTGGATCATTATCATATGTTGATTATAGCGCTTGGCAAGCGGAAAGATTTAACAAACGCGGTAAAGGTCTTTTTGGACCTTCAATCGCGCGGAATGACTCCTAATGGGTCGACATTTAATCACTTGATCGATGCTTATCTTACAAATCATGATTATACGGGAGCGATAGAGGTTTACAAGCGGCTTAAATATTCGAATTTTCCAAAAGATATTCCGACAAGTTTTTTCAACAAAATCATTAAGGTACAATGTTCACGAGGCTATTGGAAAAACGCGCTGGATATTTATAAAGACATGCGCACATTTAACATATCGCCTTCTATCCGAACTCTGAATATCATCTTACACGCTACTTGTGAACATAAAGGTTACGAAGCAGGTCTACAAATATTGCTCGAAAGATTTCCCCAATCATTAAAAAAAGACATCACGTCATATAACATTCTTCTTTCTACTGCGGTGCGCGAAGATAATTTTGATGGCATAATGTGGATTTGGCAGGAAATGCGTGCTGCCGGAATAAAACTTAGTGCTGTAACGTATACAATTATGATGCAATTTCACATCAAACACGGAAGGTTGGAAGAGGCCTATATTACGTACAGAGAAATGACTTCGTGCAAATTACGGCCTGATTTTGATACATTTCGAACATTGCTTGAAGCTAGCTTGTTTGATGATTATTCTTTTGGGAAAGTTGGTTATTTAATTAGAGAGATGAGATATTATGGATTAGATATCGATACTTCGTTG